ACATTGAGAAGTTCTTCAATGGTTGGTATGTTCATGTTTCCAGCCTTTTTATAATTTTCATAGCCCAATTAGATGAGGATGATCATTGTTTTCAACCTTAATTCAGAAAAAACACAAAAAAAGAGAAAATTAACCAGATTTACGGTTCACCGTTCAATCAGGAACTGGTGCGATGAGAATCATACATCATAGGTGTTTCAATAACTTCCTGGTTGAGAGAAGTCTTGTCTAAAAGCCTTAGTAGTTGGCATTTTTCCTTCTGTGTGATAGTTGATTTTTGAGATCAAATGAGAGGGATAACGAGATCACTTGGGAAGCACAGTCAAACCTTGCTTCGCTATTTACATTGGCTTCCTCATTTCAAGGCGCAGGATAAGCGAAAGGCGAAACTCTTATGAAACGTTTGCCAACCATCATAGCCAATTCGGATCAACCTGTTGTTTTTGTTTCGATGTTAAGAGTTTATTGATATTGATTTGAGAGACAGGGAAAGTCAACTGATCAGTTTCATAAGCGAATAGTTCTCAGATGGTCAAATGTGCTGCTGATTACGCGAAGTTCCTTATAGAAATGGAAGAAAAACAAAGAATACAATCAACTTCCTTAGTGTGCCCCTACAACGAGGAGGTCAATGTAGAAACAGAGAAAAACCAACCTTCTTGGGAATAGCTGTTCATAATCTAAGTTGTCAAACTGCAGGGAGGATAGACTGCGATAAAACGAATATGTTGCTATGCAAAATTCAATTGTGTTTTGTATTTTCCTAACTCGAAGTTATCTTCCAGATTTGACCCAATGTTCCCAAGTCATCTCGTTATAGACTTCTCATTTGATCTCAAAAATCAACATGGGGGAAGGCAGTCAACTGTTTTTCTGAATAACCCAGATGAACGTATCTACTGTGCAGATTACATTTGCTATCAGCCATTTCATTTGCAACTTCCTTCCCTTTAAAATTTCAAAAGCATCAACTTCAGAACGGAAAAAGTTTTTCAACTGTAATCAGAACTTCATTGAAATGCTTTTCAGTTCACAACTTCACAGTCTTCAAAAACGGAACTGTCTCAACTTTTTCATACAATTATAGAAGTAACACAAATTTATTTTTCAGAGGGAGATGCTAGGCAGGCTATCATTGACATCTTCATGCCTTTCGTTGCTTTCTGCGGAGGCATTGTGGTCAGTGAAACAGCTCAGACAATTTTTAAAATCTACAGTTTGAAAAAAGAGAAACGAACGGCCTTTGTCTGTTGTTTCCCCCCCCCCCCCCCCGGCTCCGCCAAAGACTTAGGCTAGAATATAAGGCTTAGGCTAGATATTCATAAAGCTTAGGCTAGTAAGGCTGGGTTGTAGGAGTTATTTCTCATAAAATAAAGCTCAGGTTTGTTCATGATATACTTAATCTTGTTTATAAGGCTTAAGCTAATAAGGCTAGAGTTACACTTCTTTGAAAAGGCTTAGGCTAGAATATAAAGCTCATTTGTTCAGAAAAATACTTTTTTTCAATTTCTAAAAACCAAAAGCGTGCGCACAACGGCAAAAAGGGTCGTGGCTAGTACGGGGGGGGGGGATTTAACAGACAAGAACCAAATTCCCCTGTAAAGCACATGTGTTCCCGAAAATTCTGACTTCTTATGCGACGATAGATTGATGTGAACTCGAGAATATTATAGGAAATAGAATAAAGAGAATGAAAATATGATTTATCGATTCAAGTTACGGGATACAAGCTTTGTAATCAGGGTTTCTTTTCTTTAGACTCGGCTGAAACTGAATTGGACTCAGAAGAGTGACTCTGTCCTGCTTGTCGTTTCATCGGTTTCATATTCTGAACGGCTTCTAACTTTTGCTGAAAATAAGTTTATGAATTGAGGGCTAATAACATACTTTCATATAAGATATCATTCGCCTTGTATAAAGAAAGAAAGGAAAGAGAGACGAACCTGCTTAGCAGTCATAATTTTTTCTCGAATTTGTTCCAACGTGTACTGAGTGTGTTGGACAAAAGCTTCGATTAGAGATTTGATGACGCCCAACACTCCCTCCTGAAACATAAGAGGTGATCATTAGATTTGAAAGATGCGAAAACTTGTTGTTCCATTGGTAGGGATTGGACCATCTCTTTTGCTAAAGCAATTTTCTGTTCTTCAGTCTTCTGGTTATCATTCACCAAATCGTGCACCTTCAAAGAGGAACGGAGAGATTGTGCATGAGTACATGACGAATCATACCTGCTGAGCATTCAACTCTAACGAGCTGACAAGAGCACTGCCCAATAAGATGGAGAAACAGAGAATAGTTTTCGTGGGATCTTCACATATTCGCTCGTCATCAGTAGTTGGATTGTCGGAGGATTTTCAAAATACAATACCCTGCTCAAGAAAACTTTCTGAATCTGATTATTGAATATGAAAAATAATAGAACACTATACCTTCAAACACTATACCTACTCCAAGTCTATGTAGTTTCTCCATTAGAATATATATATATATATATATATATATATTGACGCAGTAAACGCGTGGGGCTAGTGGAAGAGTGATGAGAGTAACGCTTCTGAGAGGGAGCAGAGACGCGGCGAAAGGAGAGAAATTGCCAACACTCCTCCTCGAGTTTTCGTGAATAGAAAAGAGTTTTGATCCATGTTCTTCATTGCTGTTTCCTCCCTATCTTTCGTTTGTCAACAACATTTGCGAATCTTCTTGTCTGTCGTTATATGTTAAGTTTACTCATTTCATCAATACCTTGGTTTCAGAGATGATAACGATCACAATTCGATTGATTGGTGAAAGCGATGAGCGCCTGATTGAACTTGACGTACAAAAAAAGGTTTCAATATGATTATTCTTATGCTAATTGACATATTTCATTTTCAGATTCTTCGCTATGACCTACAAAAGAAAATTGAAGCTGTGACCCATATTCCGACACAGTTCCAAAAAATTCAGTTGCGAGGTGAGGATCTTCCTGTTGTTGAGCAGCCCATTCGGAACATGAAATTTGGAGAAGAACTGCATGTGGTTAGTTCAATTTTCGTATATTTATTGTTATTGTTCTTAGAAGCACTCGGAACTACCTTTGTGGGAGCAGTATAAGAGCCATGTTATCATTGCTCTCAGGCCAGGCCATGAACGACAACGCAATGCCATTTTTGCAGTGGAAATCCACAAGCTACTCTCGGAGAGCAATTTTTTCAGTGTATACTGGAGCTATAACGTCTTTCGTGTAGAAAACCATCATAAGATAATGTCATATAGTGACGGCAACATTCAAATGATGAAAGAAGCAACTAGAAGCCATTTTCTCCGACAGCATTATGAAAACGGTGCACATGATGAGACGACCTTCACCTGCCGTTTTGAAGCTCGTCCGGACGAACTTGGTGGATCTCGCAAGAATACGCTTGCCTTCATTCAACTATATGGACAAAAAAAAGAAACTAAATATAATATTAAGTAAAATTTCTTCCGTTTTACAACTCTT